TGGTTTCACAATAAATTGAAGAATCTTTGTTCAGACATCTATTTCTGGCTTTAGTTTGGTTTCAGTTATCTGCATAACTGAATAAGTGGTCAATACACGAAAAGAAGGCCTTTAAGAAAAACATTTAAAACCTAAAAGACACAACTTCACCTTCAATTTTAATTTATTCTTTGTTTTTTATTCTTCTTTACTGACTGATCATTTGCGTTTTAGGCAAATGCTTCTGAAAAAACATCACGCTGATCGTTTCCATTGAGATCGATGTATGTTTCAAAAAAGACGTATTCCATATACGGTGTTCTTTTTACAGAGATTCTGTAGGTAACTATAGTTTTTGCTGTTTTATAATTTCAGAGTGTTTATCGTTATTTGTAAGGGTCAAACACACACACACACAAAAAAAAAAAAAACAAATGTTTACAGTGTTTGATGTATTATATAACTTATTTGGTTCATGCAATTTCACTTTTTGCGATCACATCTTTCTGTTTTCTGTCTCTATCTCTTTTTTCTGTTTCTTTCCCAAACGCTAAATGCTCGTATTGTTCAGAAAAGAATGCTCAAAAAAAAAGTTGATGTTTTACCAAATAAACACAGTTTTTCTTGTGCAAAAATTGGTTGCTTTTTTTGATGTAAGTAAACAGCAAAAATTTGTTGATGACCACAAAAATAAAAAAAAAAAAAAAAAATCGAGAAAATTTTTTTTTGCAAATTGTTATACTCTCTGTTAGGCAATACAAAATGGTGCTTTTTTTGTAACCATTTTCTATAAAATTCTAAATTGCAACTGTTTGTTAATGTTAAATTTGAATTTGTACTGTATTATATGCTAATTTTTTTCTTTTGTCTTACATACACTTTGCAATTTGATTTGTATCTTTCTTTCAACTTTTTCTTTATGTTTGTTTGTTTGTAAAATTGAAACTGTTTCGTGGGTAAAATAAACCTTTAATAAACGGTTTATCATCTTCACTTACGACAATTTATTTGTCACCGGCAAAACTGTTTTCCTTTCTTTCTCTCTTTTTTTTTTTGCTTTAGTTTTTCTGGTTTTAACGATAACAATTGATATATACTGTCACCAAATAACTGTTTTTATTTTTTTTTATCGTTAACATTAACTTCAGAAGTGCTCCACTGTATTTACTACCAGTTTTCCACAATTTGTGATTGACAACATTTTTCTGCTCAAAATAATCGCTATTTTCTGGAAATCGTTTCCTTCTTTTTTTGTCTCTTTTTTCATGTCACAAAATATAATAGTTGAAAAAAGAAAAGAAAAGAAAAGAAATCAAAGTTTGGTTAATTGCACTTACAGAAAAAAAACTCATTTTTTATTCTGGCTTTACAGTTTCAAAACATTGAAAAAACAATTAAATTACGAAATAAAGAATGTAATTATAAATTGCTGACTACTGAAAACACTTAGACGTACTATTTACGGTAATACCACGTAGAATATAAACTTAAGATATACTTGAAATCAATGATTATTGAATCTGTAAAGTTAAAAATAACAAAATGTCTAGAGAAATCTTTTTTTTAAATATTATTACCAGTCAAACAATACAAGAGATCTGTAAGAGCAGTCTACGAAAGCAACAAATTTAACGCCTAAATCTTATACGAGCATAAATAATTATCATTTGAAAAACCGTAGAATTTGATTGCTGTCAATAGACAAAGCTTTAAAATTGAATTAGTCAATAAGATAGCAACGTAAAATCAGCAGGTGAATTCTGACGCCTAATATACCGCAAGAAATTTTATATACTTCCTGAAACGTAGAATTGGATTTTCTTGGGCAGTATAGTGAAGCTTTAAAATTTTATTTTATCAATAAATTCGATTTTGAAAACAAAAAAAATCTTTTTCATTTGCATCAGTAAAGTAACAGTTTCGAAAGCAAAATTAAACTGATTACAGTTCTACAGTACATACAATGTAATTCTTTTCCACCGATAAAATGTTTCTTCTTAATGTTAAAATTACCAGCTTTTTGCCATTTTTTCTCACCAATTCAGTTTATTTTTTACATCTATCTGAAAAGAAAACAGAAATATTAATTTACAATCTATAGTAATTTTACTGCAACAATGCAGCACAAAAAGTGAACATTTGAGAGAGCTGCGACAGTTTGCCGTCAAGAATTTTTTTAAAAGAAGTTGTTTATTAATTGCCGTTATTGTCAGAGATATCTGATTATTCAGCAGTTCCTTAATCAGAAATGATTAATTATTTAGCTTAACGAATAATGACTATGTCTAACTTCCAAAACTATATTAACCGATAAGCAGGTAACCAGGCAGACGAGGAGCATTTACCAGCCTTCGCTTATGCGACAATCAACTTTCACCTCCAGCAAAGTAACTTATAAAATTGTTTATTCTTAAAGACTACACTCAAACTTATTTTTTTAAAGCGATATACGCGAAAAAAAAATGCAAAGACAGTTCAAAAGAACGTATTTTACTGCTTTTTTGTATAACTACTCTTCCCTTCAAAAATTGTACCAAAAAATTATTAAAACAATTATTTGATTTCATACATATAGCTTCTCAGTGAGAATTTCATAATGGAAACTTCACCATGTAAACTAAGCCTAAAGCTCTATAAAAACTACAACAAGTATTATTCTCAAAAACTTCAATTGAAAAGAATTCATTTCTGTTCTAACTATACAGTCTCTTGCCATCTTTATAAAATTGTGCTGCATGGTCTCTACTCTTAGATTGAGCCCTAAAATAAAGAATTGAAAAAAAAGTGGGAACTCATATATCTTGGTTTAGCTCTGAATTCTCAAAAAAAAATTTCGACTTCTTTTGGAGCTTCTAGTACTGTGATTAATTACATTTTTTAAAAAAATCTATAACCTGAAAAGTTGACGCGTTTAAACTTGTAACTGTTAGTTTTTAACTTTATTGAGAAACTCTAAGGTTTTCAAGCAGATACCCTTAAAGCTCCCAAAAACCAGAAATACCCCATAATAGTTCTAGCAATGTTAACAAGAAACAACCTCCTGTGCCAACTTCTCGCAGTGTTAGATCAGGTATGTGATGTAACATCACTAACGATATTGAACAGATAGTTTGAATAGTTTCTTATTACCATATTTATTCTTTCCAGTGCTAAGTTCTCTAGTAAGTCTTCAGTTTATAAGCGCTAAAACAACACCATCCTCGACGACCTGGAATTCCCAAACAAAAATAAAGTTGCCAGTAACGAGCTTAAACATTGCAGCTTTATAGAAGCTATAAAGCTTTTCAAGAAATGTAGACAGTCACAGCACTCGAAAAGAAAACCGAAGTTTCTTTCAGGAGTATACAGGCAAATAAAGAACATCTCAGCAACGTCTGCAGCTTTCCGCTTTAAAATTCTTCGTTCCAGGCCTGTCATTTGAAAATTTTGACAGCTCTGTCATGCTTCTATTGCTACCAAATACCTCTAAAAACGACACTTCATCAGATTTGAAAACGCTCTAGCATCAATTGACGTACATTTGTAGAAAGTTTCAGTCAAAAATACCACCAGAGCAGTCATCAGATCTTATTAGTGAGTTAACATCAGATATATAACAGAACTACAACTTTTATAAAATATCAATAAACCATCCAAAAAACATTATTCATCCTTACTTCAGGCTACTACTCAAACTGCTTGTCTAACCACTAGTCAGTCACAGAACATACAATATAGATAAAAAAAATAGAAATAAAAACGGGTTAGTATGAAAACAAGAAATTTTACTTGAATCAACTATCTCTGAGAATCTCACCTCTCTCAAAAAAACAGTTGAATGAGACAAGAGAATAAACATTTTTAAAAAAAATAATTTTCAAGATTTACATGTAAAAAGTTGTTATACATATAACGTACAACGACACTAATTGTCATCTCTTCATCCACAGTGAAGGATAATAAAGTATTTAGGCTAAACAAGTACATAGAAACCTTAGTGGAAGAAAGAGGTATCAGTAAACTTACAAAACTAAACAATAGATGCAAACAGGTGTCTTTCAGTTCAAACAATGTTTTTGTGCTACTGTATTAGTAACTGTGAAAAAAATGATATTCAGAATGGACCAGTCAAATTAGATGCCAACAAGCGTGCCATATTATCCATTCCGATAGCATAGTCAAAAATATTTTCAATTGTTATTGAACCTGTTAATATTGTTTCTTTAAGTTTTGCTTCGCGTTTCGTCTCTAATAACAGTCGTTTGCGTCCCTTCATTATTTGGGCCAACTAGAACTTCAAAGACAGATAGAACAAGACAAAAGTTCAGAAGCACTCATATTATAAACATTTCCTTACACGGTCAGGACGTATGTAAGGATTTGTTGCGAGACCGTCACAGCCTGGTGTTTTTGGATGTATGAAAAGACAGCGATTCCCATATGGACACACACCTGTTTTGGTATACTTGTCGCACAATTTGGTCTTATACTTTGGGTTATCCACCGGAATCCTTCAAAGACAATAAAATAAAAAATAAGATTTGGAAAAAAAAGCTTTGATTACTTACTTGATTGGTCGTAATTCTTCCTCACCATGCGCGAAACGGCAGTTATCTCCAAACCTGCACCCTCCCATTTCCAACCATCCCTTACACATAACCTGTCAAAAGCAAAACCCTTTTATAAAATCAGGAAATTAACGATAAAAGAAGTATATTCAAAACCTTTCTAAAAAAGTAAAAACTTAACAGATAGTTTTGACAAATTCTTGAAGTTTTTGGAGAAGTACAAAAGCATCAATTCTAACAAATTTATATTCGAGGTCTATACAATACCGTTTTGTAACTTTCAGGCTTTGTCATTTTGCTGGATGGAACGGGAAAGTGAGCAGTGGTGATTTCATTCTTCCGAGGGCATATTTGCAGCTGACTTTAACGATTATATTACAAAAACAACAGACAATCAAAAAACCAAACGTAAAAATATTGAGAAGCTTGTCAAAAAAATCAAAAAATTGGAGACCCACTTTAATAAGTTGCACGGAAAGGCAGGTGAGGCTTCATTAGAACTGCGTCCAGAGCTGCTACTAAAGAACACACAAAATATACATTCAAATAAAGTAATAAGTAGACTCAATGTGTAACCTGTATAACCTTTATAGGAAAACCAAGAAAACAAAATAAAGTAAAGCACTAAATTTTTTGAGCCAAACGTTCGCACTTTTGTTCTTACAAAGGACTAGAGCGGCGACTTTCTAGAAAAACACATAACAAAGCATAAAGGAAAAAATTTCCCAGTGACTCGAACGGCAAAAGATGTTAAAAAGTTTTGGAAACTACTTGACAATTTATTTTGGACAACTCGGAAAACTAATAAATGAGTAGGAAAGTAAATCAGATTATGTCTAGCAAGAATGCTACATCTTATGCGACCCCAGCTCTCTCGGGAAACTGCTCCAAGGCCTCAATTGCACCTCATATCACAAGTTAGGTAAGAAAATTTTTGGTTGTTGTCTTTTTCAGTTGTTTTAGTAATGGCGAGAAGACGCAGGAAGACCCAACAACGTGTGTGAGACATCTGGCTTACCAATCCGGCTGCCAAAGTGACAATATAGATGCCATAATTTGCTCAAGAATACCACTGCTTGTGAAAGATGTTTTACTTTTCAAATCCTAATACTGATCTAGCAATTGAGTTTTAAAAAAGATGAGGCTAAGGAAAAAATCCACATCTTCTACAAAGATCAGGTCTTCAAAATATAAGAATTCAGCTGAACGTCAATGAAATTGTTGTTAGTATTACTTCTAAAAAATTAAAGAAAGTAATAGAAATAACCACTCTATACCAAGCAATGCAAAGTCATACAACAGCTTCTATAAAAAAGTATTTAGGCTGCAGGATTAAAGAAGTTTATAATTTTTCACAGAACTGTGAAAGATGACAGCTTTACTGTGCAATATCTGAAAATCGAGTAAATTTTGCTCACTGTATGAAAGTGACGAGAACTCGTATTACACACTTAGTCTTACCTGCAATATATACAATGATGGCCTAAACTTCCATGCCTTGATTCTTCTGAGAAATGATCAGAATCTGTGAGATTTAAGTCTGGAAAAAGAGGTGGTGAAACTGAACAGCTAGATGGCTCCTCAGAAAGTGACAGGCTAAAATTGCTTTAAAATAGTTAAGCGAATAAATTTGAACGAAAAATCTTGATGAGTGCAGAAGGAGGAACTGACATAAACCTTACTCAGAAATTTGAGTCGTATACATCGTGATGTTGTTAATTTGTTAGTACGATGCAACGGTCTAAAAAAGGTAACTTGTAGGCATTTTCACAAGAGTAAAAAACAGTCATAACCAAATAAGATGCTCAAAAAATAACAGCTTAAACCACTTTCAAAAGCAGGCATCATTGCAAAGAATTTCAAATCTGAAAAAGCATAATTGAAAAACCGTTCAGTTGGTCAAAATTAAAATAACTCATGTAAATAAAACAACGAAAAGGACAAAGACACCGAGGCGTTAATAAAACGGTGACGATGCAATTGGTGAATGCTGAAAGTAGAGTAAGGAAATACAAAAGCCCTGAAGAAGAAGACTGCTTTGGCGACAGTCATTCGGTTAGTTTAGCCTCAGTGCGGTTCTCACAAAACAATCAGCGAGGATGCATTTGCATCTGGTGTGTAGTATATTCTGTGCGGTCAAATTAGTGTTTTCAGGTGACCAATACGGTGCAAGTTCTGTTACCTGCAACAAGCACTTATACTTCAGCGGGATAGATCGTTTTGAAAATTGCTTGTTACTGAAAAACGTTTCCTCATCATCCGCTCCAAAAATGTGCCAAATGTGCCAAACTTGTTGTCTTTCCTCATGTTTTCTGATAATTGCGATTTTCAGGTGGCCTGAAACAGTTTGATTTCTATTTCGAAAGAAGATTCCGCTGTTTAACGTCAAAATGCTTCTCCCAAAATGTGCAAAAATTTACTGTGACTGGTGAATGAAAATCTAAAATTTCACAGATTCTAGTATGTTACAGTGCTTAATAGCTTTTCAAGCGCAACCTATGTGAGATTTTTCAAGACCACCTTCGCTACTAGTGGATATCTGTTAAATACTTAACAGTTCTAGTTGACCTTCTAATTTTTACTCATTATTGAGGCATTAATTACGTCAAATTTTTACAGTATTTAATACATTTCAGGAGATAATTGAATTCTTCTTTCTTATTACGTCAATTTAGTAATCGATTAGAGATTAAGTTTGAAAACAGTGATTGAAGCGTTTAAGTTTAGTAATGACTGTATTCAAAAGGCATACTTATTTCGCGCTTCTAGTTATTTTTCCTGCGCATCTACCAAATTTGAATTTAACTCTGTACTCAAGGTGTTGCAAAATACTGAAAATAAACTGTAAAGTGAAAGTCCTCTCAAGAAAATGCTTTTCAGCTACATCAAGTCTTCAAATCTTTCTCTCCGATTTCGCAGAACTTTTTTTCTATTTTATTCAGTGGTATTTGCCTCTAATTTTTTTTTTCAAGAGCAGGTTTTTGTCACTTAGTATTGGTAATGAATAAAACTTTATTAAATAAAAGCCTAATTTGATTTATTCCAAAATTAATACAGCAGACTCCTTCTCTATGTACCTTATCAGCGTCTTTATATCATATTGCTTTTTTATTTGTACCTCTTTTTCGTGGTCATCTAGCCTCCAAGCCAGAAACGAAACGTCAGACAAAAGAAGATTGAGCAACTAGCAGTAAACGTCGTGATGGATTTAAACATAGCTTTAAATATTTGTATTTCTTCCAGAATTTTTTGATTTTAGGTCGTAAACGGTTTCTTTACAATCTTTTTCCGTATTTATAAAGAAAGTTTTCTGTGCTGCACGTGCTGTTTTTGGACACTGTACATTTTTAAGACACTTCACCCAGTGCTCAGTCTTCAATTCTTATATCTAGACAGAAATTCATGTTGCCATATTAAATGATTTACAAAAACAGCTGATTTTTTACTAGTAGTACAATTAACTCGGCTTTCTTTAGTAGGATTCAAATGTTTAATGAGGTTTATATGAAGTCATTCTAATAAAGCAAAATGTACCCCTTTTTTTTCAAATTTTTCAATGCATTTTTCAAATGTAGTTCGTCTTGACGTTATTCGCCGTTGAAAGCCGTATAGTGGTGAATAATTGCAGTGACTCCTCAGATTCTGTCCGCGTTTTTGTATGGTTCACATCGCTTTTTCAAGCCACGTAATGTAAAAATGCTTGTGGGAAAACATTTCAATGCAAAATTAAACACCTTTTGCCACGTGGATGATGCATTTTCAGAACAAACCATTTTCCTGAAGCCAAAGACCAAATTAACAAAACTCAGGTCAGTCTAGGATACTTAAAATTCAATATATCACAATTAGGCCTTGACGCAAAGGGAATTTTTACACTTTCTCTGCTCCCCCCTACAACACTTTAAAGTTGGTGGAACGTGGATAGGGGAATAAAGAAGCTAAGAAAAGAGAAATGTGAGAGGTCGGAGAAAGGTCGAACACATTGTCTTCAGTCATAAAATACAATTTTTCAGAAAAACTTATCATTAAGCTACTGTTTTAAAAAGTGTTACTTGAACTTTCCACTAATTGACATCAGATGTCATTGCGGGTCTAAAGCAACGACTGGATAGTATAGCTTTGTGAGTCGCAAGTGCACAATTTGACTGGTGTAGCACTGTTGCAATTGTCAGTCCCTGACAAAACTTTCAAATGTTCTCCCCTTCGCCACAACTCTTTCTAGGCGGCTTCAAGAGATGTTCACCCTTCTGTATTGGAAAAAACTTTTCACTTCCTTGCTGTTAACGATATCGCGGCTGATTATGAATGCATAAGCACAAACTGGTTAAACTGTTTCGGACGGCTGTACTTTGAGTCGATGTTAAAGTTACTTCAAGTGTGGAACGAAGTAAAGCCGGAAAAGCAAAGCTACTATGTTTTGCACTCTTCCTGTCACAGCCTATAATATGAGCAAAATTAAAATGTAAAGCAGAAGGTGAAAATAGGGTTTAAATAATTATGAAACAGATATTTTTTAACATGCAGTCATAGAGCGAAAGAAGCCGCGAAGGTGACTAATACACATATCTTCTCGTTGAAAAACGGCGTTATTACCTCAATTGCCGTTAATAGCTTCAGCTGGCGAGTCGCTGCCTCTCTGTATATGGTCGTATGTAAATCCAAACTTGTGACTTTGATTATCGTAAGCATATTGAAATTGTTAATGCTTGCAATACCGACCTATTTTTCACATGCTTCTACTAGACACTAGTCCTGCTGAGGGGGAATAACGGCGGTGTGCTGCGGTTACCTCTTATTTGATGACCTCTGGCTTATGTTTTCAAATATTACGGTCAAACGAATACTGAAGATCAAGTGGCAAAACTATATGAAAGGTGTCTGGAGGCGCGATCTCCAGCCTAAATAATACAATTGTACCAAACATGTTCAACTTGCAATGTAAGGAAAAACAGGTCACTTAATTTTCTAATTTTTCCAACGTAGTGATAGTAAGAAGTTATCAAGAGATCGAATAACAGACTCAGCTGAAGAAGGAACAATAACAACAAAATAAAACTACAAAATTCTAAATTCAAGTGAAATTAACAAGCTGTACCTAGGCGCGACATGTAAGGTAAATACAAAGATCGCAGTAAGCTCAGTGAAATAGCTTGAAGACCGAGAATTATGAAGATTTGAAGTGTCGAATATCAACTCTCGAAAAATCCAAACAATGATAACAACAGCCTTCTACTTGTCCTGTAGTGAAATTTTGTTTCCTATTCACAGTAGCTTGTTTAGGGTTATTTTTTTAATTTATGCTGTAAGACTCTTTTACTAATAGTATGTCTGAGTGGGAAATCTTTACATTGTAAGACTTCTTCTCACAGTACACACTAATAGGAAACCCATGTGTCGTTACTTGTATTTTTAATTAATTTACTTTTCTGTCTGTCTAATCGATATAATTGCGAACCCTTTCTTTGCGTACAGTACACACCACCCAACTATGAAAGGAGAATCCTCAAATTACTCATCTGATCGTGATACTTTCAAAATTAGCCACACCTTTACTTCGTAATAAACAATAATGATTTTCTTTCAACGATAATTAGAAACACAAACTGTACTTACGATAAGAGAACGAAATATAAGTCCAGAAAAGAAGTGAATAGATATGCTCAATGAAAAAAGAAAATTTGAATATGTAACAATTCCTGATCGTGTTAGACTTGATATTGAAAATCAGAAAAAACCTTCCTGTAACAATGAGGAAACCGGCTCAAAATATGAAGAGGGGAATACTACTAGCAATGACGGCAAGAACGATAATAATAATGACAACTTGTTTTTCTTGTAGCATATTTATAGACAATTTAATTTGTATAGATCCTCTAAATAAACTGCTAACTTTTCAGAATTTGGCCTTAGGTCTTTAATTATACTGCAAATTAACTACACTTTTATTGGTTTCTGGATCTGTGTCTGATATCACTTAATTATACTTTAATTTCAATGCATTCAAGAACTAACTCGATAAAAATTAAAAACAAGTTAGTTACCAAAATGAAAAATTTCAAAATTATTTTACAGTAATATTAGGCGGTATATGCTGTTTGAGCAAAAGTTCGTGTCTTTTTTTAGCCTGTATTGTAAGCGAGGGCTAAGTAGCATGGGTTCAAAAAGCTTTCCATAAAGTTGCTTCTGTAAACCATTGTCGTTTTTGATTTTAGAGGTCAATTTGTGTGCTTCTTTTAACAATTATAGGTAACCAAAACACTGTTTTTTCCCTGACATTTTACAGAAAAACTTTTTGCAGCCAACAGAATTCCCTCTCATCAACGTGTAACAAGCCTGCTGTGTGTCCTTTTTCCTTCAGCTCTCTATTAGTTAGATTGCTTTAAAAGTTGTTATTGCTTCTTTGATCTTTAAATAGACAAAAAAAAAACTTTTTTGATGGCTTATTGAAAAGTTAAGAACTTTTTGGATGGAAGATATTAGAGAAAATTGTTCTGTAATCACAACTTTATTCTTTAAGAGCTGTTAGACAAGAGATTTGGATTTTTTTGTGCTCACAATTCACAAGTTTCGCATTTTGAATTGTTTATTGCCGTAACTATTTATTGAAAGATTCTGTAACTTTAATACTTTTTGTGGTATTAACAGTAGTACAGTATTCGTTTCCAGTACATATTTACAATGCAAAGACGTAATTACAGCAGAACAATTAGAAATCTGAATTAATTTGAAAGCTTAGTTACGCTTTTGCCAACACATTCTTATACAACGGTAGAAGCAGGAGCAGTAAATTGAGATAAGAATTTTATAATGTATTACACGTCTTTATTTTTACTCTGCAACTGCAAGGAGATATTTGAAATTTAAAGAAGAAACCTGCATATGTTCGGATTGTGAAGAAGATTTTTTTTCTCAGCGTACAATGCAAAAATAGGACTTCGCTTTGTCGTACTAAAAACTAAAAAGTTAGAAGTAAGCGATTGCAGGTGGCAGTTGAATTTTTACAACTTTAAATGTTTTAAAGACTACAAGCTAAAATTCATTAATTTATTTATACGCTGGAGAAACAAAATTTGCTGGTAAATTTTTTTTACATTATACTTCGTTGCACTGCTTAATATCTTCATATGTTCTAATGTTGTCAAAAGAATACACTGGTCTCAATAAATATAATTTTTAAATCGTGTCTCACGATATCGTTTGTGATAATTTTTGCACTTTTAACATTTCGTCTAACGCTGCTCTCAACTCTTCACTCTTCAAATGTCTAAGGGTTTATTCAGCTGATTGCTACTGCAATAGATGCGATAAAAATTTTCTGAGTGGTTTTTAAAAAGGAGTTAGAAAAATGGTTTCACATTGCGTCAAGCTGTCTAATGCCTCTCTATACTTTTTTTTTTTTACGTTTCTTTCAATCTTAAAAATTGATTCATCGTGGAATTTCAGAAGGTGAAAAAAGTTAAGGCGTTATAGATGAACTGTATTCAGTATTCAATTTGCTTCTTTCTTCTTTGTACTGCTGAAGACGAGTTATGGAATCAGTTATATAAAATGATTTCGACGGCCATCTTCTTTTATCTGCAAACAGATTGTATAAATGACAGCATTAAAAAGTGGGCTCAGGTTTTTTTTTTCATAGGACGCAATTATCAGCAACTTTTTGCCTGTAATAGGCTTCTTAATAGATATGGTTTTTGAAAGGAGTATTCGTTACGTACAGCCCTTTATTACCTTATCAAATTTCTGTGGAAGTGAGCGTACAACTGTATACTTTATATTGCGTACTTTTATATTAGAAAGAGAAAAAAAAAACAGAAATTAGTTCTTTTGAAAAATATTTTTTTGCAGAGAATGTATTTTAATGATTATAAAACATTTACTGACTAAAAAGAGTCGTTCTTTGAAATTTGTTTAATTTTTTTTGACTTTTTATATTTTTTTAAAAACTGTTTTTCTTCAACATTTTTTTTACTGGAATCACCAACGATTAAAAAATTCAGTTTTTTTACATATTTAGCTACGAAAGAAGACTTCTGAATTGTATCAGTAAAATTAAAACGCTGAGCGGTTAGAAGCTTATTTGAGCAAAATAAATTTAGCAGTTACTCTTTTGACGATACATTTGACCACTTCACCACATGCGAATTCACCGGCATTGCCTTTCATAATTTGAAGTATCAAAAGACCGTCCCAACCTAGGACCTCATATAACATTCTCGCTGTATCATTCTGTTGCTGCTAAAATGCAAAGTTATGTGAAATTTTTTACGAAAAAAATTGAAAATACTTTGCCAGTCTTCTGTAATTTTCAAAAATCAATCTTTTTAAATTATAAAACTGCATAAAGATTAAAATTAGGACAGTTCCAATAGAATGCTTGGTTTGTGAGTGAAGAGGTGAACAAAATAGAAAAAATAGTGTAGACTGCCGATAGTATACAATAATTCTCATTAATTCTATCCAATTGTCAACAGAATGCTTACACTGTCAAGCCTTCCTTCTCCCTCAGCAACCTGCAAAAGTTATTTCTAGTTCAGTTTAATTTGCGTGTAAAAAAAAAACAAGAGTCTGTTACAAAAACAGCGGTATCTTACCGATGTGAAGTAACATCAGTCTTATCTAACAGATCTAGTATCTGTTGTTGTAATTAGTAATTGAGAACGTACCTGTGCAGCTTCGAGAACGTTGACATAAAATTTTATTCCACTTCTTATGCAAAGTACTTTGATCATCCAGTTGATGGTATTTATAATGGTCACAATTAAAACAAAGTTAATCCAGCACCATAGCAGTATGAAGAGCTTTTCATTAAACATGTTCAGTGGCAAAACGCACTGCACAGACCATCGATGAAGATTACCCAGTTCTCGAATCTGAACAAGTAAATCGTAAACTAGTAAAACATTCGTATATATGATTATGAGTGTGCCGAGTGGTATGGTGGCGTTCTGCTACAAACTGACAAATTATAACCTCAAAGTCGCACACTGTAACTCTAGGAAATACAGACGTTTGAGTCCATTCTGAACCTCTAAATAACCTGCGCAGCATTTGGAGCCCCCATATGACTGAATTGCCTGCAGTTGCATGCCGTTTATTAGGAAAGGTAGTTTGATAGTTTAGTGACGTATTCAGATGAAAAGGTCACATCAAATACGATGTTACCTTATCTCTTTATTAGGCATTTTACGTTGAAACACTGAGTAAAATTTTACAAGTAAAACTGGACTTACTGTTACGAATATCCAAAAAGAAATTTAGTATAGCTAATTGCATCAACAAGTTTGTAATGAATAAACCCTTCATTACTAGGTAACATATTGTTATATAGCAGCTCATACGTTGAGTTATAAACCTGAATTTGTTAACATTATTCATCAGTCTTACTATTTACTGTCATTAGATATGTGCAGGACAAAACTAGATTATAGAATTGATTGCCTACTTAAAAAAATATCCAACTGGGTTAGTAATTATTTGATTTCTGCCAAAATTTCGATCCATTCGAAGTCCAGCATACAGGTGATTGGCGATCATTTCCAAACTTTTTTTATCGTACACTGCTTTTGAATAATCAATTGTTTTTGTAGACATTGCAACAATAGTTCGAACTTGGATACCTATAACCAAGCAGAAAAAAATATTTTTTTTTGAATAATATTAGACATAAATTCAACTTCTAATGTAGTATTCACTGAGCTATATTGTTTATGTTAAATTAAGAAGCCAATTCGTCTTTTTTTTTCATATTATTTATTTCAATTATTTGCTGTTTAGTTATAGCCTCATTTAGTTAAAGCTGTAAGCGAATGGAGAAAGCGAAACAACAAACTATACCAGACATCCAATTCAGGGCTCTCCAAAACATATGTGGTATGCAAAACATTATTGCTTGTAAGGCCAATACGAATGGTACCCACTAAAATTATAGCTTCTTTCAAGTGTGGATTTCAATAAAGGCTGTACACCATGTATAAACAGTTACAAATGACTAACAGTATCTGTAAAAATTAGTTTTTACCTATAATATAATAAATAAAACCTGATAGTACGGAAGTTTTCCATTTTCACGAGTTTCAATTTTTTCAGGAAGTGATGCGTTTTCTAGTGGTAAAAAATACGTATTTTCGACAAGACAAAAATCGTTGACATACTGGTCCCAACCTCTACGAAATTGTTGTGGAGTCCAGCAGCTTAGTGCATCACCACCACCGAAATAAGCCTATAATTTTTTTGAAATTACCACTGCTCTAAGCAGTATTTGTGGTATAGTGATATTTCAGTGTTTTTTTGCCGAAGTGAATACTCACTTCTTTGTAAGACTGGTTAAAAATTTGAAAAAATTAGCTTATTTATACAATAATCAAAAGTTATTTGAATTGTTAAACAAGTCGAATAGGGCGACACAAATAAGACTGATTACTTTGTATTTAATTTTGTAACTTTTGTTTATCACTATCGCTAATTTTTTAATAAAATTAAGTTGTAAGAGGACAACAGTTCTGTCTTTTGATATCTGTTGTGAATAGCCGACAAGCTCCACCAATTTGATCACTAAACTTTATTCTTGTATTTGTTGAACAATTATTTTCAAGCGTTACCTAGTAGCTTTCTTTCAAATTTTTCTAATGTATTTATTCATTCTAGTTTCAACTAAGTGCTAGGCAAAAACAGTTTTCTATATTTAGATGATGTTTTTGATGAAAGCTTGCAGCTGTTCAGAGAATCTGCTGTCATGAATGAATCTGCAGTACAACGAAAGTGCTGTTACAGAAAAGAAGTTATGAGCAAGTTTCTTTTTCATAATTAAATTTTACGCAACAATTGAGGCTATCATTTGGCATACAAACTGTTTTCACAGTTTACAGCTGTAAAACTGACTTCTGTCAAGTTTATGAGGTAATCAGCTGTACAAAAGTCATAGCTTAAAGTTGTTTGCGATAACTTTATTTGTCCTCACTGAAGTATCAAAAATTACGTTGCTCTCAGACATTAAGATTATGCGTTTTAAAAGTCGCTTTCAGGTCCACTGGCATAACAGCTGTCTTAAGAAGCGCATTTTAGTGAAAAGACTTTATCGTTGAAAAACTTTTAGTCAATAAAAAGTGACCAGAGATCTTCAGCCGTGTCGCAGTAAAGTTGCAAAAGGAAAAGAAAAAGCTGATTGCAATACAGTTCTTAGTTTTAGTAAGTTTCCCATTCCTTTTTTGATAAATGCTACAATTAAATGCATAGTACAATATCTTTTTCAAAGAAAACTACTTTATCAGCTCTTTATACAAAAGCAAAAAGTTGTGTGATTTTGACACTTTAGGTGTTTTTTGTAAACTTCTTTTTTATTATAGCTTTATGCTTATTTTTGTTAAAACTATATTTACGCATATGTCATAGAAAAAAAAAAAAAAACAGAAAATGCTGAAAATGCTATTTTTGACTTAGTCGTAACATTTTTGATTAACAAAGTATTATAGCTGACTTTTCTTACACAGCAATAATTAAATTGCTGTCCTGAAGTATAGCATCGCTGAAGAACTCAGTCATCATAATTCTAATCAAAAATTAAAGTTTGCTTGTTATAAAAATGATTATCTGTTATAATTTTAGCAGTATTTACAATTTGCAAACATAACAGTTCATAAGCTTAAACTTTTTTCTCAGTCTTATTACAAGTTTTTAACAAACTTTACTTATGCATTTACCGTCAAAACAGTGACAAATCTTTAAAAAAATTTTTACTTACTTTATAGGTAATCAGTGATGATGCGACTACCAAAAAAATTGTTGAGACCTGAAAATTTATTCTATCTACAAAATCTTCTTCATATCGTCGTTGGGCAAAATTTCTTATTCGCCTTATAAGATGATCCATAGTTATAAATGTTGGAAAAAATCAGAAATTTTCTAAGGTTGTTTGCGGCGAATTCTCTTTTGACTAAATTTCGCTAAACCTAAAAAAAAATTTTTTTAAATAGCAAATTACAATTTTAGCAATAACAAATAATACAGTTTTTCACTCTTTCAAAGGCATAAAGAAAACACTATAATCATTTGCTATACAAAAAAACTTGTTAAAAACCATTGTCGACTATTAAAAAAAGAAATAATTTTTGTAACTGGAGTTTCAATTGAAAACGCTTTTGAATCACCAAAGCCCACGATGATTAATCGCTTTTTCTTAAAGAATAAAAACTACTGATATCAAAGCCATAAATATATTTGCATATTTACAGTGGAACAGTAAACAGTCATCAAAAATAGATGTAATAAGTTCAGCAACAATTAGCCAATTTTTCTTTTGTTAGTTGTAAACATTTTTCACAGTAATCAACAGAAAATACAATTAAACATTTTTCAGTTAACAGTTTTATAAGCTGACAGTAACTTTAGTAAAACAATGACTCAGAACTATTACAGGAATCAGAACAAAAAAAAAAATGTATAACATTTTGCTTTACTTTTCTGCAGCGTTAAAATTCTTTAAATTTTATAATAATAATATTTTATTCAGATTTTTCAACTGTGCTCTGAAAATTTCAGTTTTTTTTTTCAAAAAAATCAAAAAAAGTTATTTAGTTTTAGCTGACTAATTAAATCTTTCAGTATTTGGTCAGTGTGAAGAATTCTTTTTTTTTAGAGAAATAACTAAGGACAGAGCAGAAACTGAGTTTTTGAATACTGTAAACAAAATATTTTGAAACTAAAATATACTACAAGAAATGAGTCAAAAAGAAAGAGAAAAGGCAAATATCAAAAATCGTTAAAGCTGCAAATAAGCAAAGTGCAAAAGAAGTGTTTAAAAGTATAGTTTTAACCTGTCTCTATTAATATAATTGCTTAATACATCTTATCAAAGGTATCAAAGTATTGCTGATAGTAACATTGTAATTGTTTGTAAACTATTTGTTTTCATTTAATTACTGGTTTTTTTTTCTTTGAAATTTTACTAAGTTCTCTTTAATTTTTTTTTCTTGATCTAGATTAGTCAAGGCAATTCTAGCAACGTTGGTTCAAGTCTGCATTAAAATTTGTATTGAAGTTGATTTTACTGCGAGAAAACTGATGTAAAATACTGTTTGCCAAATTTGGGGCTGTAGTTGTTCACGAGAACATTTTTTAATCGGTGAACAATATCCCTAAAAAACATCTTTTGTTAGTTTTAATCGGTCGTAAAGATGTAATTCAAAGACACAGCAAAGCGTACATAAACTTCAAAAGTGCTAACATATAATACTCTGGTTGCTAGACCATAGATAAACATGTGTTACGAATCTAATTAATTTAATCCGATATAAACAAAGAAAAAAAACAGTGTTTTGAACGAATGTCAACGACAAAAATTGTTTATAAACCACAAAATGAACATAATACTGTATTATTAAGCTTAAACAGTATCTTTTTGCAAAAGATTACTTAGCAGTCGATAATGTTGTACAAATCAAAAAACATAAAACTTCTACAGAACATAAAAAAAACGAACTTATTATGATATTGATTTCTAAAATTATTTTTTTTAATACCGACGTTACGTTTCGACGAGTTGCAAATGAAATGTTAAAGTTACATTTTGAAGTAAAGACTTTTTTCAGGTTTGAAAATTTTCTTGTCGCTTATTGACAATTATTCATGCAGTGTTTATCTTTGTAGTTATCAAACCAAATTTGCAACATTATTTCAAAAAATCATTTTCTGAAGATTATTCGTCAATAAGTAAACAGTACTTAGCGCTTCTAATACGATCAGTTCTTTCTAAACTAATCAGGTACTAAGAAATTATTATAAACCAGCATCTTCTACTTCGCCTATGAAAAAGAAAGCTGAATTGGCTGGAAACACTTAGCAGTTAGTTGGAACAACGGCATACTTTTTTTCTACAACTGCTATCAATTTCTAAGAGGTATGCTGTACACAGTGAGCAATTCTTATTTGTTCCTTAGCTAAAACCTTAAAATTACATTGTTGTACAAAAAACCTTAGCAACTTTAGCATCTTTCAAAGTATGCTGCTTAAGCACTCATCATTGTGGCGTCGAAAGAGACGAAGTATGTATCAGTTATTAAACTTTAGCTCAGCTAATAAAAAGTTGAGGCTGATGGCTATTAACAGTAGATTATTGCTGTTTATTGTATAATAATCAAAAAAAAAAGATTTATTCTATTCTGAACAGTAACAGTGTTTATCTGACCATAATCACTTCTACGCGATCCACAGATTACACGCATTAATTTAACAAGCGATTGACTTATGTAAGTACGATGGTAGTGAGTGGAACATTTGAATGTTTTACTATTGCAGCTGAGGTACTAAATATTTAAACTAGCTTGCTTTAAAAACCCTATTCAGAGACGACGTTATTTACAGTAACATTTCTAAAAAAAAAAGATAGCACAGGCAAGTATGCAACGGTGAGTAAAGAATACAGAAGCCTTAAATTAAAAAAATGGTTATATATAGACAAATACATTCGGCATGAACAAAATTCTATGCTTTTTTCTAAGCATTCGTGATAAAAAAAAAAAAACTAAAACTTTTCTAAGCTGCTAATATATAGAAGGCAATGAGTAAAAATTGGCTGATAAAAGTTTATAAACGAATGACCTAGAAGACTGTGTTAAAAGTTTAAAAGTTCTTTTTGAACGATAGAGCAATCTTCAAAAGTTATTTCCAAATATTTATTTTTGTCAAGCACCAAATAGGTCTTTTTCTTCTCACTTTTTTTCCAAAAACTTAATAAACAGGTAAATCAATCAGAAAAAATTTTAAATAATTTCAGTCACGAAGCTATCTATGCTGAAGTGACTCTGTTTGAAAAAGAAAGCAAATAGTAATTACAATATATTTTGACTAAATAATCTGAAAATATGTAGTTAAAATAATGCAATAAATTTTGCTTACTGATTTGATATTTGAAGAATTTATTCGAGTGTTGTATCGCCCACTCTATGAAAATATTTGAGCGTTGGCAGTAATAACTCAGTTGTAAGTGGGTTAGTGCCACAAATTACAAAGTTGCCTATCTTGAAGATGATAACTGATATGTAACTGCTGTTTGGTAATCAAACTGATTGTTACCAAGTTTTATTGCTGGAATAAAAAAAGAGTTGTTTGGAATAATTAATTACCGTAGCTGTACCAACTATAGACTTTCTTTCACACTAATTGGTGTAGTAATGTAGTCTAAGTATGAATCACTTCTTCGGTTCCGCAGTAAAATTTACAGTTTCCTGTGCCATTCATTTTATTTCATTAGGTGTCAAAAATTTTTTTAATTTTTGAACAAAGTTATCTGCAGCTCATAAAATTTCATACAATGCATACAAATACAGATCAGTCAAAAAGTTTTTGAGCTTTACTAAAATTACATTTTAGTTTTATCAAAACTTTTTTTATATTATTGTTTCTTGAAGAAAAAAAAAGTGTCTTTTTTCACCACTGTTTGTCGTTTTCTGAATTTCAGGAAGGAAAAAATGCTGTAAAAGTGGGAGTTCATCAGCGACGACTCATTGCAGTTTATGGTTTTGTGACGTCAAATAAGTGTTGGACAGTCTGTTGACGGCGGTTTAAATGGATAAGTGCATATAAAGTTCAGATAGTTTCCACATTAAAGTAGAAGATTTATATGTTTTTGGACAACAGTTTGCCAGTGAAAAACCAAGAAAGAAAATAGATAGTGACTGCAGAAGTGTCAAAACTGTTTTCAAAGAAACACCTTTCAACAAATGTTCATTTAATGTCAGTTTCTAAACCGTAACACAAAAGCACATTAAAGTTGTTGCTTGCAATAATCACAGTAGGTTCTCACCCAGTAAGTTGGCATGTCTTTTAATCTTTCAATTTTTTTAAACAAGTAAAGACACGAATAAAATATTTTTATTGAAATTATGCATTAAATGCACCAGGTTAATAACAAAAAAATGACAAAAAACACATGTAGAATATCAAAATAATGGAATTTTCTTGTTTTCATTATCAAAAGCAGAAGAAAACATCAAAGGAAATCTAATCAGATTTGATTATGAAAACGAGAACGCCGCTTTAGAAAGTACATATAAGATAAAAGTAAAAATAAACAGTTTTGTTTTCAGATAAATACAGTCGAGACAAAAGAACAAAAGCAGTCTAATTAGAGCAAAAGTCAAAAGTTTCTCTCCGACAACAAACAGCGAAAGTACATAAAAAATAAATTAAAACTAAGCCTAGCTGTTAACTTTTGGTAGTTTTATGCATGTGAAACTTTACCTGTGCTGCTATAAAATTAGACCGAGGAAAAAGCGAAAAAAGATCAAAGGGTCGTTGTCAATAAAACTTTGCTGTTTTATAACAGATCTTTATGATACAAAAAGAAGTATATATTATCAAAGTAGCCTTTTCACTACATGCTGAAAGAAGAAAGACACAAATTTTAATACAGATACAAGACAGTAAAATTTTTGGTAAATTGCTCAGAATTTGTTTATTTTACTGGCTTTTCAACGACCGTTGAAAAGTTTGTTAAGAAATCCGGTTCCATCGATAAATCCCTCTTCAGTGACGGAATACAGATTTCTGGGTAAGTGCTGTACGGATTATGGCGACGATTTTGCTTATAAGTTCTAAAGTTTTTTAACTATCATTGGTTGAAATAAACACTTATTTGTAGAAGCAAATACTAGCAGTTTTAGAATTAAAAAGACATTCAGAAAACAGTATAAGAAAGTAACCTTGATGGGGACGAAAGATGTATTGAAAAAAGTCTAGCAGCAATTATGCTGGATACAATGTCACCGGCATTATGCGCCATAAGACGAAATACGAGGATTCCATCGTTACCCAAATACTGCATAAATGACTCCAAATTTTCCATTTCCAGTTTCTTTTCATGGCACTAAAATGACTGCTTTCTCAGTTGCTAAATGAATTTGTGATACATTTTTTTAATCTAAAAAATCATACGATTTTTTTTT